GTCAAGCCAGGATGAGCAAGAGAAATGGTCCAGAACAGGCATCTCACAAGTAAAACCAGGGAGGTCTCCAACACAACTTGCCAGCAGCCTTCCCACAGCAACCTGGTCCAAGGGGACACAGCTGCCCCCCATCAAACTGGCCTTAAATACAGGCAGCCAAAGCCTGAGGAGTGGGAGGGGTTTGGATCTGAGGCCTGGAACCTACTAATTGAAAGCAGGTGTGTTACAGAACGCAATTTAAGTTGGCAGCACCAAGTCCTTGACTATTACTACATCTTCTTACCTGGTTCTTCATTAGCTTGAGCTTATGGAACATGACAAATTTTGAAATGCTTTTACAGCACTGAGAACACCAAAGTGTCTGATAAGATGCAGAGAGTTGTGAAGCCACAAGCACAGAGGCTCTGAAGATCATGAGGAACTGATTGGAGCTGCACAATTTAAAATGCCATTAGATTTTTTTGGACAGTTCTTTCTGATCTGACATAGTGCATCTTAGAGACACATCCATAATGGAGAAAATGTGTGAATTATATATATGTGTGAATTATATACACACAGACCACCCTACACATATAGACTGTAGAGCACCCAGTTTTCTCTTGCTGCTATAGCATTAAATGTATAACATTAAAAGAATTTTTGTCTTTTAGTTTGTATTGGTTTGCTAGGGGTATAGAAAAATCTCTTGCTGACAAGAGACATCAGTTTGGTGTCCTGAAACATTGGTCTGATGTGGTAAAGGTGTGGGGAACATGGATAGCACTTACAGTATGTTTGTTCTGCCACCAGAACTTCAGTTAGAAAACAAAACACCCTTCTTGAATTAGAGTGGATGCTTATTACTGAGTTACAACCTTTGTATCCAGTGTGCAAGGTTATTACTGCTATAGGGTAATAAATCTGCTGGGGCTCAGTGAAGAACTGGAATTGCAGTTACAATCATTCCCTTCCCCTCTGCTTGTGCTGCAAACCACAATTCATCCACATAGTTTAAATGTGAGCAAGAGAACGTTGAGATAATATTTCACACATTTTCAAGAAGGGAGATACAGATGTTCTCCCCGTGCAGCTGAATTTGCCAGGACTAATGATAGAGAGGGAACACTTTGCTGTACTGTGCCTTTGGATTTGTGCTCTGGTGAAAATAAATCTTTCTTTTTGTCCATGCCACGGTCTCACACGATGTTACTTTACGCTGGAAGCATTTGTACTGTGCTAACTACCTTAAAAAGTCACCCAGAGTTATTAAGTGCTCATTTAAACTAACATTTGTGATCTGCCAAACTACTTAACAGCACACAGTAAGAAGTTTTAAGCCATTAACAAGCTTGCAGTTATATATAATAGGGAGGATGGGTTTAAATAAAAATCACTTTCAAGCAGGGGAATGATTAATCATTGCTGTTCTCTCCTTCGTTTGTATTCTTAGCAAAAGTTGTCAACCTTTGTCCCAGCATTAATGGTGAGTTTTATGTGACTGTTCGTGGTATTCTTAAACTTGATTAATTAGCAAGGCCACATTTTATTTGAAAGTGCAGAATGGAGTCACATTTTCATTCAGTTCCCTAGGGAACTAATTATAAGGTCTGCTCCACATACATCACAACAATATCTCCTATATGGCACAAGTAATTATTTAGATACTGTAAATATCCTTCCAAATACTTAAAACAGAACTGCTTCAGCTACTTTAAAGTTTCATCAGAAACTGGTGCTAGCCTCTGCTGGGAAGTTCCAAGTATTCCCTACTCAGGAAAAACAGCAGGTACTCAGCATCATGAGAATGTAAACTCTCCAATGGGAATTTATCACATTTGTCTCTGAACCAGTAAAAAGGAAAAAAATGGAGAGAAAGAGAACATAGTTAAGATTACACAGCCTTTCAAAAAAAAAAGAACATAAATGTTTAACAACCAAATGATGTTGTTTTTTCTCCCTTAGCTCCAGGGCAGCAATCAATTCTTTCTATTCTCCACCCCCAGTACACTGGAAAGTGGCAGTTTTGCTACACTAAAAGTCAGAGTAGAATATGCAAAAGCCCATCTTTAAAAACAGAAAAATCCTTCTCTCCCATCTTGCCCGAGTCTTGGGGCAGTGGGTAGGAGGCTAAGGAGTGGCAATGGCTCTGACTAGTCATGTTCCAGTAGCTTTAGGCACGGAATCCCATCACAGCAGAGGTACAAAGACATCGAAAGAAGTTTTGCATAGCAGCACTTAACAGTCTAAAAAGATTAGACAGTGTGTGGGAGAAAGAAACCATTAATTTGTACCTGGGAAAACGACACAGAGAAGTTTCCCTCAGTAGCACAAGACTTCTCTGTAACTCTGCACCAGAGCTGCAAAATCAAGTGCCACAAAACTCAGCACACACAGGCACAAGGAGCACTCACTGCCTGGGGAAGGGGCACAGTGCCTGCAGAGGAGCTGAGGAGCTGCACCAAACATCACTTCACTGTTCTTTGGCTTGTGGAATTCTCAACTTGCTTCCACTGTGCTCTGCTTCTCAGGATTTGCCCCCAAAGGCAAATTTTAGGGGGGAAAAAAGCTATTTGATTGGCTCCAAAGCTCTTCTAAATTGGATGATACAGTGAGCATCAGGCAGCAGAACAGCTTCCATAGCAACACACACTCTCTGTGCTTGGTTATTTCTGGGGCATCTGTCACTGACTCTGCTCCCTGCAAACAGTTGCAGAGAGAAGGTTCCTTGCAGACCTGTAAACAGCCCACGTTAGTGCACAATTGTATCTGGATTATTGTCAGAGTGCCCCTTGTGAGGCAGCAGCAGCAGCAAACTGCTCTTCCAAATCGATTATAATACACATTTATATTTCCCAGCATCTCCCAAACAAGGACTTCAGAGCAGTCTACAAATAGGCTTCAGAGCAGTCTACAAAACACCCTGAAGAGCCTACAATTATAGATTAAATTTTCTGAAGCCAGAAAGATTAATTATACAAGACCATGCTGCCTAGAATTACACACCAGCTTTGTTGAAGCAGAAGACAAGTCCTTCCACATAGGAAAACAGTGTTAAATATTTCCAAAATCTTCCCCAAATCCACTTTTTCTGAAGGAGTATCATGTAGGTGTAAGTATTAATTTATCTCACCTTCACTGTATAGCAAAACAAACAGTATAACTTGAAGTCCAACATATATGTCAAATGACAAAAACTTGTGCCACTATAATGCTTTAGTTAAAATTACTGTATTTAGACTTTGAAAATTTTCTTGTATTAGCTCACAAGTTACACAGCATCAGTAGCTCTCCTTATTTTCATCACCTTGGAAACACCACATGCAGGAAAACAAATACCAGAAAAATAAATATGGATTTGTTATTTGTAATTCAATAAATTTTTAATCCTGAATCTTCTGTTTTATATTCTTAAAGAATTTCACAACAGTAGAGGCATTTTTTTATCCAATAAATCTCTTCTGTAGCTGAGTAATAACAATTGTGACCATGATTTTGAAGATTTTGAGTATAGATAAATAAATAATGAGGTCTGATGAGCATGCACCATTTCCCTCCACAATAAAATCAGAGGTCTTCTGAAAAAAAGATGGATTGCATTTTAATTTTAAACACTGGTAATGTTTAAAATGTCTGAAATGGACATACAGCAGAAAACACCAGTTACAACTGTTCTAAATAAGAGCTCTCAGACGTGTCAGCAGCTACTGAAATCAGTAACAATTAACACTATAATTCACAGGAGAAAAAATGTAACTGATGTTCTCTTGCCAGTTAATATTCTGCTAAAATAGACAGACTGAGAAGCTGTATTATAAGTAGTTTGGTCTGGTTTTTAGTAAACAACACTGAACAGTCACCAAGTGTACACATCAAGCACACAGTTAGTAGTTTAAATGTTTTTGTCTTTGGGGTATTTTCTAGTCCACTGTCATATTCACTGAAAAATGAGTCAGTAGAGAAGATACCAAATGTTCTGCATCGGATATAATAAATATATTAGCAAAGAAGAAGACAAAAAGGAATTTAAAAACACTTAATCTGAAAAAGAAGAAAACTCAGTTTTTTTCTTACCCACTCTGTTCAAAACAGCCAGTGTGTGTTGACCTTCCAGGCATGCAGCAAACTTTATTTAGTTTTATTGGCATTTGGAAAATGCCAGAACTTGATGAGACTTGCAGACAGCAAAACTTTGTTGGACTCTTTACCAATGTTTCCTATTGCAATGGGTTTGATTTTTTGCTCTTGCTTATGCTGGGGTTGCTCATGGTCTTGGAAACAGTGTTCAGGGTTCAGCAAAAGGGAGAACACCTCCAGAATTCAAGAGAGTAGAGGAGACCCAGTATGAGGACCAGTGTGTCAGGGAGAGAGACACTTAAAACAGGTCAGAAAAGTCTCAGAATGGTACAGACTGTGAGCAAAGTGCCCCAGTTCACACTCTTTGCTATCAACAGTGACTAATGAAATCAGCACCACAATGCAAGGCTCACCTCACCCAGACTGCTGGCCAAAGGAAACCACTGCTTGCTGCTGCTTCAGGAGCTCCAGCAGCAAAGGCTTTTTGCAATGGTTCTGTTCTCAAACACACAGTAAATGGAAATATGTACTCCATCGAATCTGAGTGGTTAAAAGGGAACTCCTTTTTAGATATTAGAAAATATAAGCAAAGATATCTTTGGGGGGGGGAAGGTAACGAAAGCCGCGCCCCTGTACAACCGTGTGTCAGATCTGTTGGCCTCATGCATCCCAGAACTGTCCAAGGCACGTGCTCCAGAAGGTTTTCCACAGGACCCAATTTCCAAAGGGTGTCTGAGGCGTGAGGTCACACCAGGAATAATAACACCAAAGGCTGTATTACAGTTCACTCACCATGTCAGCACCATCCAACCTGAGCACTGACAAAACTGAGGTAGAAAACACCTCTGCTGAGGTCATTGGAGTGTTGCAGGAGGAGAACCAGCAGCACTGCCCAAACTCAGCCCAGGTTCTACTCGTGTCTGTGTGAGGGAGCCCTTCACTTACCCTGAGAACCTGCACGGTGCAGAGCTGAACAAGTGGGGCCATCAGCTTCTGAGAGGCAGTAAAACCTGCACCTTCTGGCTGAGCCTGAGCCCTTACCTGCAATCACAAAGAATTGTTAACTGGGATAACAAGGAATTATTGCTATTATCTCCCCTGTTTGTAAACCGAGCCAGACAATATTGCACAACCAGCTCTAAGCTCACAGCAATCATCCAGAGTCAGTTAGAGAACTACCACAGAACTGTGGCAAGTGCAAGAAAACCATGCCAGTCATCCTTCAACCATAATATATATAATAGATAACCATAGAAGATTTGAGAGGCTACATCAGTATGTAATAGCTGTTGTAACTCACTCATTTCTATTGGGAAGAAATTTCTTATTTTTATTTCTCCTTTACCAGAAACAAACTTTGCTGTTCCCTGTGCAGAAGGGTTGGCCTCTCTGTGACCCCACAGAGAACTGAGTAAGGAGTGCCCCTGTTGCTGGGGTCTGTCCATGTGCCTCTGCCCAGCACACTGGGGGTAAGTGGAGCATGGAGCCCATCCCAGGAGAGGGGCAGGGGCAGGGCAGCACTTCAGCTGAGCTCCAGCATCACACGGATCCACAGCAGAATCCAACAGGAGCTGACTCAGGTCAAAAATACTAAGATAGCACCAGATAGCAGATCAGAAGCATTCTGTTCCTTTGGGAAGAAAACATGCAGCTCTTCCAAATGCCTACCAGTCACTTTAACATTGAAATGTTTCTTCTCTTTCAAAATCCGGCGTGCAATTCTTAAGATTAGGCCAGAGATAGGAAACATCATTTCAGCAACCAAAAGATGATGCTTTCATAGAAAGACAAATATTCTTAATAAAATCATGCCCAACACCTTTATGCAATCAGTTACCAGTTCAAAGCCAAGACAAAGTGTAAGTACAATAACTAAACATTTTAAAATATAACATAAACCCATAAGTGTAATGAAAAGAATACTGCCACCTCCTTATTTCAGTTGAAAGTCAGAAATAGAGTAACACACCTACAAAACTGCAGACATAAGTCCTGGTGCAAGATTGACTGGTGAAAATAAAGAAACATATTTAGGTGCTACTCAATGACAGAGATAATAATTGCTCTGTATCATTCTTCATAATCAACTGCAAAGAGACTAAAACCATCAGGAAACAAAAACAGCAAAGGAGAAACTCTGCCCCAAATGATATAACAACACTTCAAACTGTACTGTTACATTTTTGTTTCTGTAACTTCTGTAACCCCCTTTGATTTGGAAGCATTATCCACATAGGAACAGAGGAGTTCAAATGGCAACATTTAGAGAACATAAAACCAAAGACAGATCAAGTTCTATGAATTCAGGACTTGGGTCACCAGCACAAAATGGAAGCAGCAGCAAATGTCATCAATAACCAAAACATTGTCAGGGAAACAATAAAACTGAGAAAGGACAACCTTAAACCAACTTTCAAAGAAATTTCATATTACCAGATTGCAAACATGAAAAGGTTTTTTCCTCTAGTTAACTTGAACTGAGACAGATGAAGGGGAATGACTGGAACTGAAAAAAAAAAGATCCAGAGTTCAGAGAGAGTTATTGAAGCTGCTGCAGACTCAGCTGGAGTCTGGAAAAAGAAAGAGACATTCCATATAATTGGGAAATTAGATTCAGAAACAAGAGCATTTGTTTCTAAACAAGTATTTCTACAGAGAAAGAAGCAGGAAAAGGAAAAAGCATAAGGAAGATTGACATTTTCTTTGTTACTTTGAGAAATGAAAACTTCAGTAAAACATCACTTAGAACCTTCTAGTAAAGCTTTCCAGAAATAATCAGTGATTCTCAGTGCCCAACTAGATATAAGGTCCCTGCTACTTATAAAGTTTCATCACCCTAAGTAAACATTTGCTGCTATACAATGGTTTTGTAGATATACAGGCAATCCATAGTCTCCAGGAGTGATGTTTGCTTTTCCAGACCAAAAATCCAGCTGTAAAATAATTCTACATCTATGAATGAGAGACAAGAATAACTACAACTTTGCCCTGCTTATTTGAAGAACCAGTGAACTTAATGACCTTGCTAGTGAAGATAATTAGTCAGATATATCATGTAATTTATAATATCTCCATCTAGAAAATAAAGTCCTCCCAAACACACACCTAATCAGGGACTAACATATTGTAGCAGAGTCTGTAAGTGATGCTACACTGTCACTGCTCAGGCTCTCAGCATGGCCACAGAGGAGCAGCTGTGGAGCTCCAACCATCCTCTGTGTTGGAAGGGCCTGGTGCTGGTGCCTTTCTCACTGTGCTTCAGCTGTACTTCAACAGACAATGGAATATTTCTGTGCTGTGACAGCAGACAGAACCTGCCAGTAATTAAAAGAAACATTCCTATAACCCTTACAAATCTTCAGATGACCAATATGTCTAAAAGTATTTTACAAAGGAAATATTCAGAGTAGGAATGAAGGAAAGCCGAAAAGAAGCTCACATTGTGATCTCACATTGCAGGGCATGGGTTGTGTGTTCCCCTCATTTTTGAGCATCCACAGAAAAAACTCCTGAGACCAAGTGGCAGAAGATTAAAAAGTCACCTTGAAAGGAGATTTTTGACACCACTGCAACAGAAAGAAAAAAAAACCTGCAGTTTTTAACATGATCTCTGGTTTAATATTTCACTTCTGCAATGTTCTGCTTCACTACTACTGAGTGACAGAAAAGGAAGTAACAAAAAGTCTTTTTGGCATCCATATCTTGATTTTTTTCTGTATATTGTAAGAAGAAATGACAGAGCCGATAATTAAAAATATTACAATTAAGTCCTGCAGTCACCAGATGTACAGCTGAAAAGAGAAGTGGGATCAATTCTGAAAACCACGTCACAGTTAAAGAGAAATTAAAACTGGTGAATAAATAGAGGAAACCATTAGAAAAAAAATGTAGCCTCTTCTGCTAGACTGGAGGTGAGGAGGGTGGAAAAGAGGCAATATCATATTGTTTGAATAATCTAATTCTTTGTTATGCACTTTTCCATGAACATTTTTAATGTAGGCTTCATGCAGGTTTAATGCAGGCTGTGATATAACAACAAATAATCAATTTTCTATTCCTCCTATCCCCAATTAAAAATTATAATAGTTGGAAATACATGGAATCAGAATCATTGATCCTGACTGGGACACCCAAGTTTGACAACAGCCACCTTATGCAACCAGCCACGGGATGTGTTTGCTGATTGTGGATACATGGAACCTTCCAAAGAAACAAAGAGGTGAGTGGAGACACCAGACATGGGTTGGATTTTTGTTGGTTTTGCTACTGAGCAATAAATAAAATTCTGAGTACCCTCCATGAGGTAGTTACCACACAGTTATTTCAGTGGCTGCAAATGCATACACAGGCAGAGAGCATCAGCCTCTCCCTTCTCAAGCATAAAAGTGAATGAGACCTTCCCCAGCAAGCCACTCCTCTCCTCTTATTTCATTTATTTCTTCATGTATGTTGAATTTTGGGTTGTTGTTTTGCAGTTATTTTTCTGAATTCTAGACCCTTAAAAAAACCACAGTTGGTAAAAAAGCACAAGCTTAAGACAGCTTGTATCAACTTCCTACACCATCCTTTGGGCTGTTCTCATATATATATATTCTCATATATTCCAAAAATATATTCATTGTCTTTTTTTCTCAGTTATTTATATCATATATTTAATTCATAAATTATGAACAAGTCATCTTTGATAGGTAGAAACAGACAACTTCCACCAACTGAAAGGAGAGAAAGATCAGTTCAGAATAGGGTATTAAAAAAAGAAGAAGCTGACTAACTTACAATGTGTATTCTTCACAGTCAGAAGAAAATTGAAAATCCACATGAAAGACACCTGGAAAGATTCTACTATAATTTTTTTCCACCTGACAACATAATTTCAAATGCACGTAAAGCTATTAAAAATTTGAAGGAGAACTTGTTTGAATATGATTAGAGGAAAGGACTTCAGCATGAGGCAAACAAATATAAAAGTACAATTCCAATCTGGTCATGAAAATGCCTCAGGCTGGAGGAAATGTGAGGAGAAGTCCTGCTCTGCCAGGAGCACAGGAATTCCCACCACTCACTCCTCAGCCCTGCCCTGCAAGCACTGCCCACACTCCCCCATCCCACCTGCTGCTCTCACACTCACTCACCAACTTCAATGGACTGTCTGCACACTCCAAGAGATAATCACCTCCATAAATCAAGACAAAGAAATTCCCACATAGTAGTTATATACATTTTATAATGCCAAATCTCTTACAGACACAAGTTGGAAGGAGGATTTTTTGTGGGAAATGAGGGCTTTCAGACAAAACAATTTAGAAACGAAAACAAAGGTAAGGATACAAACCAAATCCAAATCCTCAGTGATTCAGTTCTTTAAGTGTTTGGAATCTTGATTTTAGAAAGATATCAACATTAAATAAAACCATAAAAATGTTTGAAACTTCTAAAACATCTTCATGGTCTAGTTGTCACTATTTACTATCCCACCCTCTCCCATCATGCAAACACTAATTGCCTCGGCAGTGGATATTTTGGGACACACCAGCAGGTGCATCCCAGCTCAGACAGGGTTACCTGTCCTGAGACCCGGAATTGCCCACAGAAGAGGAAGTGTTTCACACCCACACTGAGTCCAAAGCATTCCCCACGTGACACCACTGCAAGTCTTTCATCGCTGAAAACCATTGGGGGATTTCCAAAGAGTAAGAACATTCCATGTTTTCAAGCCATGAAAGCGTTTCTCCTTGACTAGAGTGGGACAAAGGATCAGGTCAGAGCAGTTCAAACTGATGCCTGCTGTATTTTGGAGCCTTTCTTTAAATCACAGTTAAATTGCAGAGCAGAGGGAAATGCAGCACACAACTATCCAAGGATGGAGAACTAAAATGCCCCCATTTTTGCAGCACTAAAGTGCCACCAGGAAGAAGCCATCCTGCCTAAATACAGATCTTTGAGAAATTAGAAGCAAAACGGACTTACTTCGGTTTTTATTTTAAAGGAAGGTAAGGAAAATACACCAAACCAGTAGTCACATTTTCTTTAGCAAAGGCTTCCTTTGTCATTTATCTTATTCTGAAGTCAGTGAAGAACTGTAGAGGCTGCTGTGAACTACAGCCAAGCAGAGCAGAGGGAGCAGAGAGCAAAGGGAAGGCTGCTGGCTGCCGAGCAGATGGAGCCATTAACTGCACTGGGGGAATGCAGGCAAAGCAAGGCAGGAGAACTAGCAGGGAGCATGGCTTTCAAGGGCATTTCACAGCAAACTTGGCTTTTTTGGCCTTTTGTCTGTATTTCTAAACTGATATTTTACTGTAGTTCCTTTCTGTTGCCTGTTGCCTCTTCTGCTATTGTAAATCCTCACCTTACTGTTGCAACCCTGGAAAAAGGGCTTATTTCTGAGCTACAAGGAAATGGAAAACCTTCCAGGTTTCTGGGCAAGGGTTCAAAATTATATTAAATATTTTAATAATAAGACCTTTGAATTGAAGTGGTTCCCATGTTGCTGTCAGTCAAGACCCTGATTTGTCTGACCATCTGCTTATTTCCCTGGTCTTACTGTCATACATGATCAAACAAAACCCATGATCTTTTGAGACACTGTGTGCAACTCCTGCTACTTTCACTCTAGAGTTATGAAGACTGTATGTTTTGGAGATGGACAAAAATGTGTCTTAAAATTGTTAACTGAGCAAACATGAAAACTCACAAATACAGTATTTCATACATGTATTCTGGCAATTTTTAAAAATTCTTACAAAATTAGTATATAAACAACTGCCCAGAATACAGCTCACGATGTATCTCAACATTTTCCAGCCAACCAGAAAGATGTAAAAACTTCCCAAATACAACCAGTCAGCTTCTTGAACGGCAATCAAAAGTTTAGCCTGGTTTTACAACCATAAGAAACTTCTGCAGAAGAGTAGTTCATAGCACAACTTGTGTTGGGCAATTTTTCAGCAGACTTTGTGAACAAAATTTTGAAGTCGTGCAACAATTCATCAAAGCAGATGCTGCACTGGGAAGCAGAATGCTTGGATCCTATTTCTAGGGCTAGGCAGACCTCAGATAAATCATTAACCTCTTTCCTCTCATGCCCATCATCTGTTTTGCTGCCACAATTGCAGTAATCACGTTTCTGCAGTGCCAACGGACCTTCCAAACTGCCCAGAGTGCAGATTTTCCAGTTTGACATTAATTGTAGCAGTAAACCAGGCATCAAGTGTTGATGCAAAGGCAAAAATGTGCAGCTGCCTGGCCATCAAAAAGCAATCTGAGGGTAAGCAATATATTTCACTTACTCTGTTGCAAGCTTTAGTGAGATAATCCTTTCTTATTGCCTGCACATACACAAGATGCAACACAGAATAATCTTTCATCTTATGGCATTTACATGCTCCTTAATTCAGAAAGTTCCAAGTTTTCCAAATCCCTTTTTGCTATGTCAGTTTTACTGTGTGAAACAATGGAAATTATAGTCTGATATAGAAATGATGCCTACTGAAGAGATAAAATATTCTTTATTAAAAAATCAGAATTATATGAGCCTTGTCTATTATTTTCTAATTAACTGTCAAAGCAACAACCAAAAAAAACATCTCAAGAGACATCTGAGATCATGAAGCTGAAGTGGTGAGAACAGGCAATGCCTCACAAGGTACAAGGACAGGTTTTGTCAGCGTCTGGTTTTCCTCTTATCAGAGGTTGAAATGAAATATGAGATCTATCAAGAAGGGAAATACTGTCCAAATAAATAAATTCCAAAGTTGGCAGGTTATCACACCTGAGAAACTGTCTCACACACAAAAATCATCATATACAAGGAATAGAGAACTTTGTATTAAAAAAAAAGGTGACATTTTTTAATTTGGAAAAGAACCCTCCAAATAATGGTATAGATGGCAGCTTGTAATATGTTGGCAGATACTATAGGGCTTTTTTTTGTAATTAACATAAGATGTGCCATTCTCCTGCCTGGGAAGAACCAATCAGAACAACTCACAAAGCCTTTCATAAACCTCTGGTGTTTGCCATCAACTTTTCTGAGGTTCCTCAGACCCAAGTGCTTGTTTTCCAGAGAGCAGATGCTTGTGACACATTGTGGAGTGTATTTACAAGTGACTATAGGGTTAGATAACAAATATGCACGTATTTGTCATCACACGAGAGAAAATAAATGCACTGGTTCTCTAGGACAGGCATTTCAGCTTGCCTGGGAACAGGGAAAAGACTTCAGTTGACAGAAGTGCCCAGGGCAGGACTGGATCCCACTGAGGTATCCCCAGTGCAGTGGCAGAAAGGCAAACACACCTGCAATCCTTGCTCACAGCAAACTGAGCTCTCTGGGAAACTCTGATCATGGGAAGGTACAATGAAAGGCAAAGTCAAAGAGAGTTGTAAAGGGCAGGAGCTGGCTACAGCCTGGCTTCTTGGATGTGCACCCCTCCTCCAAGCTGGCAAGGGAATTTTTCTCCCAATATGGTGCACCACATGCATGTTCTTCACTGCTGTAGCTGCCTGGAATAGCTCAGGACACAGTAACATACGGGGCATTGGCAAAGAAAAAGAGGAAAGAGGTCACATTCACAGGAATTCCAAACTATCTTAATTTCTGCTTAAAATGCTTCAATCTATATTCCTGGAACTGATCCTGCTAATGAGAGAAGAAAAAGGCAGCATACCAGCCACTTCTTATTTTTTAAATAACTCTTTTTGACATGTCACAAAGTATTGCCCTTTATCACAGCAGACAGCACAAGGATTTTGTCCTTTCAAATGATGTTGGCAGGGAAACATAAATTTAAGAAGCTGATATCACCTCCTAGCGAAAGGTTTCCCCATTACTTAGCCAGTTAACTACTGAATTCTAATTTCCTAATACAAGCTGCTAAGATATTGTATAACATTCAAGCACACATGACACTGGTAATACGTATTAGCTAAAACTACCTATTTTCTTCCTTTTTTATGAAAAATTGTTTATTTTCTTAATGAAAATAAAAGAGTATTATCATGACTGAAAGAATAATGTAATCTGAGCAGTTTAGATCAAAATATACAACACTTAAACAGTGTTATGGCTATCCACAATTCAGGTATTACAGCAACTGAAACTTTTGTTTTTCACTGATCATCATTCTGCAAGGGAAACTGCACAAAGAGAAGGTGGCTCCCTGGAGGATTTCCTCATTTCTACAGAGAGCTGATATCTTTCTTTGAGAATAATGTGAATACCACAAAAAGTTCATTTGAAAGAAATTTAGAAATTAAGTTGACACCAGTGTCTGGGAAACTGATGTTTCCTGCACTGTGCATGACACACCAGGGGAGTTCAGGGGCATAAAATGCCAGTCAAACACACCTCAAGGCTACTTCCCATTTCAAGCCTATATTCTTGTATAGCTTCTCGTTATTATTATTAAGGTGCTGAAGCATCCCAAAATGCAGTAAATGTGCTGCAAACCAGTAAAATAACAAAGGCTGCCAGAGCAGCTAAGTCAGGACTGCCAGGTTCTGTGGAGGACTGTGCCCTTCACAGCCTCCTGTAAGGAGACAGAGATTGCCGTCCAGTGAAGCAGCTGCTCCATTATCTGGTTGTTTCTTTTTCCCAAACCTGCTACAATTATGAGCACTTTACGAATTTCCAAATGATCTGCATTCGAATGTTATCAGAATAGAATACTGATGACAAAAGGAATTTTGAAACAAAATCACATCACAGTTAATCCCAAAGTACAAACACATTCCTGAGTATCTCAGTTCTTGAGCAAATTCATGTCTTGTTCTAAACATCCTTTAATGCAGCTTCTACACTACAATGTTTCATACGAGAAGGTATTCTGATGCAGAAGGGTTGAAAATCCTGTTTATCAGTCTACCTGTTCCATCAGCTTCTGTTCTGATACTCTGCAGAGCCCCAAGTTCCAAAGCATAGTAAGGAGTGAATAAGTTTAGAAACAACCAAGCCCACACTGCTGTAAAGAGAGGAACCTAAAACCAGGCAAGATGGACTTTCAAAACCAAGGGGTACGTGGATATGGAAGAACATGACTTACCCTTCACTCAGCTGAAACAAAAGAGACTGAACCAAAATTAACTCTGTCAGCTCAACATGTGAGAACAAAGGACTCTGCAGTCGATTTAGGAGCCCTGGTGTAAAGACAACAGGAACTCAATACAGCCCCGATGTTTGAATGAGCTCGAGGGTTTGCATTATCCATTGCTGTTCAAAGGGTTTTCCACGTTACTCTTTGATGATTGAACTATCAATAACCAAAACACACAAGCAACCAAAAAACCCCTGAATGCTGTTCCTTCCCATTATCTCCACATAAGAATCCCCTGCTGTTGCCCCAGCACACACCCCAGTGCCACTGCAGAAGCCAGTTTTCAGAGCTCCAGTCACACTCCTCAACTGGCAGCAGGACTCCAGCACTGTAAGAGAAAGGGATAATGTTGCAGAAGTTAGAACACGTCACAAAAGAGATTTAGCTTTGGCATTCATGAATGTTTCTGATTTTCTGCTTCCCCACCCCCTAATTTCTCACCAGGAAAGAACATCAGTAGTGACCATCACTGCAATTTCTTTCAACATGTGAGGAAAATATTCTTTCTAGCACAAATAGATAGTAATGATATTTTTACTCTATAAAATCATAAAATTCAAGCATCTCCTTTATGAATTTTCATCATATTTAAAGAACTGAAAGTCGCAGGAAAATGTGCGTGATAGAATCAGAAAAAAATTAGAATATTATTTGTGATAGGATGGAATAAGGAGCATTGCACGTGCTTTGGTGTAACTGCAAACATTTTTAGCAATAGTATTTATAAAGTAAGACAAAAACAGAGCTTCTAGAGCCAGCATTTAAGAAAAGCTCACAATTGCAGAAATGAAGAAACAATCAATTATTCCATTTTCTGAAGTAGTGGAAATATCAAACCAACCTAGCAGCTTGTGGTTTTAATTCTTCATGTCAGAATTCAGAACCATAGAGAAAACAATTTGCTATTTGTTGACTTAAAATAATTGAGATTTTTTTTCTTCTAGAATCTGTGAAACAGACTCTATTCACCTGCTTTGTTCCTGATGCCCATTTTAGGGTGGCACAATTTAAAAATGCATCCCTCGCTGACAAATTCCTTCATGCTGCCAAGGAAGAAAGTTCCAGTTTTCCTTTTTATTTTTCAGGTCTCCTTATGCTTATTTAATGAAGCATAAATATGGATGGCACCTTTCTCCTTACAGCAGTTGAAAATATACAAAAATACATCCAGCTGCAAAAGCACCTCCTTTTTAGGCAGCCTTTAAATAGTTCCCTTGGTTTCCATTGTTTTTGCAGACACTTGGGCTTCCTTCACACCCGTGAGCCACACAGGCTCCAAAACAAACTCATCACAGAAACTCATCACACTGATGTCACAAAAAGTAAAAGAAAAAAACATGTGCAACACTCAGAACAGGAAAATCCTTTCATGTAGCAAAGACAAAGAAATATGTAGTATTATTATTTACTTTGTTTTCTCTTCTTATTAGCTGAGTGCTCCGTACTGATGCCTCTATGTCATTCTTCCCTCTTTAACTGTAACTAACCCTACAAAGAGTCTGCCAGGAGTACTTTAAAGTACTTGTTATTTAAAATATTGACCTCCACATAAGTTCTTATCAAGATATACGCAGAAGTACCAGAATTTTGTGCATGTACTATTTTCTATTTCTGGATTAAAATAATGTTTCTTGACAGAAATATCTTGTCAAGTGCTTCCTGTGCCATTGCCATAGTTCGAAAAATGAGAGAGCACCTAAAAAGTCAGAAAAGAGTTTATCATAATATACAGCTGAAATGTCTGCAGGAGACAGCCTGTGCCTGTCTTTTTTTCTTTTCCTTTAGTTTTATAGACCTGCATCTCTTGTTTGGTAAACACATTATCTGAGTAAAGTGTATTTTGTCTTCCTCTTTCCTCCTATTCTCCCTCCTGTTCTATACCTCAGGGACATCATTTGTCTATATGTGAGGAGATCTGGATCTGGATTTCAGCTGGATCTCTGAGGTTGAGCTTTTGCCTTTCTACAAAGAGGAGGATAAAACATAGAAAGGAAGGAAAGAAGACAAAGCTCCAATTCATGTTGAGTGAACAGGCAAACAGGTACTGCTGAGGAGGGATCGCCCCTGACAAACAGTCATATATTCTTGTGATGACAATTAATTATACTTTTCAAAATATCTAAGCTCTAAACAACAGGCATTTCATTTCAAAGAAAGGGGAACACAGCAACACTCACTGCATGAGAGAATAATAGAGATGAGAAAGCACATCTGTGAGTCACAGCACAGAGCTCACGAACCCTGCAGCAGATTCTCCTGCCAACCAGATCTATAAAGGATGGACTTTGAAGGATTTTTGCATTTCCTCAAAGTAAAACATTCATGAGCCTGCAGTATTAACACAACCCCACAGGGATTCCCAGAGCCCTGGTCCTGGACATTCTATTCCAAGCTGACACATCCCATTACAGCTTCATTGTATCCACACATGGTTTTGGGCACATCAAGGGCTCAGCTCCCAAGCTGATCAAGGAATATATATTTTACAGCTGGGTTTTGTGGAAGGGGACAGACTTTGTGCACTACATGGATTCTAAAGAGTTCCTATAAAGTGTGAAAGAAGAGTAAATTCTAGAAACAGAGGAACATGTGGGACAGAGCCATTCTCAAAGTCTCAGCCAGCAGAAAAGGAACTCTCAGTGTTCACAACATTCTCACTGGTAAACGCACAATAAAAAATAGAAAATAGAGTCCTTAGAAGTTATTTCATCTATTAGCCTGAAAATTCCACCATTTCTGTGGGGTCAATGTAAGTAAAAAATCAGTCCTGAGAAAAAAATTACTCCCACTCAAGGACTACAGAAAAATTACATTCTCTAGAACAGGTGTAATGATTAAAAAGGTGCCATTTTATTCTTTCTCAATGCTCCCTTCTCCCTCTAGTATTTACCCCAATCCAGACATGCTCATTACAACTAATGTTAAGAATAGTTATCCAACCTCAATGCCCACTGGGCAGGATATTGTAAATCTTCCTTTAAAAAAAAAAAAAAGAAAATAATCATACTTCAGGTAAAAGCTCCCTCAAACTCCTGGAAGAAGTGACTTAGAAAACCAATGACTCTTTTTGTATCACAACATTTTCTCAAATGCTACCTTTGAAGTAAAAGAGTAGCAGACACACAAAGTGTGTGTGAGTCAGGGAAAACAGAGATCCCTGGGGAGCCTACAGAGAGCACAGAAGGCACTACTCAGTTATGGTTTTGTTGCAGGTGGAGCATGGCTGCAGAAAAAAAGTTGTTCTACAACACATCAGACTTGCCCTAAATTGATTAGGAATACATTTCATCTTGTCTTGGATAGGGAGTTATTACAGATTATCTACATTCACACTAGGAGCTCTTTGCCTCTGTTCCTACAGAACTTCAGGAATAATCTGCATGTGAACAAGCTGAAATAGGCCAGAGAGACTTAAATATTTATCTCCACATAGGAACATATCATCAGACCTCAAAAGTATGGGAATTCTACACCAGAGTCCCAAAATGAATTTTCATTTACAAGTGAATAAGCAAGATACTTCATTCTGGTTACATAAACCATTCCATTCCAATACACCATTTTCAGGCACTTTGCCTCATTCAGTCACACAGCCTGACAACTGCCAAGGTACCTGCAAAGCACACACAGGTATATTTTTGTTAGCCAGGTTGTCAGAGCTGGCATTTGCTACCCATGAACTTCGACTTCACCATATCCAAAATGCAAATTCAGCTTAAACTGAGCCCATGCTAACAATATGTTTGGGTTCCATAGTGCCAGGCAACACGGTGTGTCTATTTTGGTGTGTTTACTGGATACATAAATACAAGCAGGGAGTACATGCATCTCTCCATCCTCCTCACAAAACCACCTTTCACACTTTATTATCTCTTACTAAAGCCTACTGTTGGCTTGATTGAAGTGTGTAGGTTGCACTATACTTACCTGCAAATAAAGCACCTTCATTAGGTTCTTAAGTTACTTCAGAAGCTCTCCCTGTTATTACATGCCTCCTTTACAAATTATGAATTTCACACACTTCACTGCTTTTGTGTTTCATTTAAAGTCTTGTTTATTGGTGGCACAAAAGTAAAGCCTGACTGGTACTGCCTGCCTTTTTCTTTTCATGCTCTCCCTCATGGGATGCAATTCAACTCACATTATTGATGGGAATTATTCATTTCTGCGAATCTTTCAAGTAGGTCTGAACCAAGCAGGTTCCTATGTTTTCTACCCTCAGAAAGAGTGGAAGAATCATATTACAGAGTTTCCATCCTTTCATATATATGATTTCATGACAGAACATACATAATCATCTTTCTCCACAGATACTGCTGAAGTTAAAATCTGTGCCAAGCCAAAATCTGTTTTTCTACCACAAGATCACAGGATCGTCCCTCATGGCTTCTTCAAATGTAAGGTTGTTTTTTACAAACTAATGACTTTTACACCTCAAAAGGCTTTTTTATTATTACTTATATTGTGCCTACAATATTTTAATTTCTTTTAAAAATAAATCATTCACTTTACCTGCTTTCAGAAATGTATAATTAAAGAGGAGACAACTCTTGTAAGTTGTCTAACTCTGTATCAGAGTTCTTATGCACAGACTGCAAACTGAGGAACTATATGATTCCCCTTGTTCATGTAACGTTCAGAGGAGCAATATTTTTCTTTAGTGCTGTTTTAAAAATTAGATAGGTTTGTTCACTGCAACAGAGAGCATATTAGATCTTAGGGTTATGTAAAAACAGTTATCATCTTTTATCAGCTGTTATCAGCTATTTCCTCTCTTGGTAAAATGTTTGCCACAGGAAAAACAAAAGGTGGATAATCAACAGTGCTGGAACAAGGGGTGGGTTTGTTGGTTTGGGTTTGGGGTTTTTTGAGATTGGTTTTTATTAGGTAAACAAACTGAAAGACTGCCAGATGCTCTAGTTTTTATCCTCAGGTACTCCTGGAGTGAATGTGGTTTGTATTTCAGTTTATATATATCCATAAGCACACAAACCCCAACATTGTGACTTACAGCATCAGCCTGGTCACGTGATGTTGTGTGAGCTCAGTTAAATGCAGGTTACTGAATTCTGACTGCCTATTTTGAAAATTAGAAAACTTTGCTTTCTATGCTAGTTTTGCAAGGAAATAAATTACACAGATGCACTGCCAGCCTGTCACTTCTCATCCCCTCCCTCACAACTTTTGAATGAATTGGCTAATTTTGATCGAATTTGACAAAAGGACCTGGTCTCAAAAATATGAAGTTCCAACAAGTTTCCATGAGAACTGACAGTTGAGTAGGAGATAAAGACTGACATGAGTCTTCCCAGTGAGGCAAATATTGCT